CTCAGTCATCTCAATATTTTCAAGGTAGTATAACATGCAGAAATTAGGGCATATGTCAATTTTATGGTGTCCTAAACCGAGGGGTTTCATTATGGACTTCGCAATATAGAAGTTCTCTTTCAGCCTGTTCTCTTCAGGTAAAATGCTTATTGCCCATTCAATAATCTTGTCATACCCGACCTCACTTAACCTGTGCTTTGACTTGATGGTGAACACATGTGATATGATCGATAATTTATTGTGGTTCGTACAGCCATCCCATAATGGTTAGTTAGAATATTTCAACAAATCAAAAAACCTAGCTACATCTATATTAGGTTCTTCTTCTATGATTGGACATTGACTGACATTACCTTGATTCATTCTCATTGCATCCATAACCATGTTTCTATAAGGATTAGTGTTGTCATTCTCGTTTCTAGTACTAGAAACGAGACCTAACCACCATTTCTTCCATTCTCCTCTCACTAACATATACTTCTCCATGTGCATATCAACACTAGTAATTCTCCATAAATCCTTTATGTAGAAGATGCATCATACAACATCTGAATGTAGATATTTTTTATTTTGTCACTTCTTGTATGGACACCTAATACCGCCTCTAGTAAAATTTCTAGGAATAGATGTTGTGAAATTAATAAAACCCTGAACCCCGTTACAATAATCCATCTTCCGCAATCCTTAGGGTGAATCTCGATACATTCATGAATGATCATCCATGGTTTATATCGAACCTCTATAAAATTATGATGACATAATGTATTAATTAACTAAGTTAGGTAAATAAACTTGCAAAAATATTATTTTATCTTGAGATTATCCAACAAACCAATCACAACTTCTCATAAATATTAAATATTCATTATCATTTATCAACATCCATACAAATTAAAATATATAAATTTACAGAAATTACCACTCAGTAATACCATTGACAAAACTTTAAACGGACCTAGTAAGTAAGCTATTAATTATTTCAAAATAGCACATGTACTTCGGTAGTTCCATAAAGTTTTAATAATTTACAAGCAAATATAATCTTACAAAATCTAAAACAAACCATAACAGGTATAGAATTATACATTCATATACTACAAGTTTGTTTGAGAAATAACAATAAAACTTGTGCATTTACTAACAAAATACATATACTAAAAAAAAAAATTGACATTTAATTAAATGTTAAGATTTAAAAAGAAAGAATTACTTATAAAAATTGATAAAATCCATTGGTAAATTAGAACATGGATGTTGTGACCATAAAACTTCAAGAAATATAACTTGTTGTGCTGATATGAGTGAGATTTTTGTTTAGGGGGATAAGGGGCCGGTTGTTTGCAGATAGGGAGAGTTGGGATTAGGAAGAAGAAGAAGAAATAAGGGAGGAGAGGGTCGGCAGTGTGTAAAAATATTAACTTTTCCCGACAGTTTCACTGATAGAAAATCTGTTGGTGAAACCATTGATGATTCTGACAGAACAATTGACACATCACCGTACGAATCTATCATTTCAAATCTGTCGGTGAATCCGTTGGTAATATAAACGGCGGTCGTTGTACTGGCTATCTTTTTGAATCTATTAGTGATTCCGTTTGAAAAAATAATCCGTCAAAACCTCCACGTCAGCGACCCTTTTTTTAATGACGAAAACGTTTTCGTCCGTAATTTAGTTGATAACTACTGACAAAAATTTTCCATCAGTAGTTACCGAGTGAATTAGGGACGGAATATAACCGTCAGTAATTTCAACCTAAATTATTGACAGAAATTTTCTGTCAATAAATACGTTGTTATTTAGCGAATTTCTGATAGTGTAGCTAAGGTTTGGAAAATAAATACTGCATTATCTTCATTATTCTATTTACTTCTTTTTTTTTATATAAATTTTGTTTTACTTATGCTTATTACTTGTATTTGGTAGGTCTGAGTCCAAACTTGTCAGTGAAATTGTGCAATTCATTTTGAAAAAAATTGAATCACACATCATTAAGTGACTCTAAGGGCCTAGTTGGGATAGATTCACGGATTGAACAACTCAAAACACTTTTATGCATTTATGCATTAGATCTTCTGAAGTTCGCATAATCAGAATATGGGGCATGGGTGGTATAGGGAAAACAACCATTGCTGGAGATGTTTTCAACAGTATTTCAAGTCAATATGAAAGCTGCTGTTTTCATAAAAGTGTTTTGAAATCGGAAGAATGTGGTGGGTTGATTCGCTTACGAGAGGAATTCCTTTCCAGAGTATTAGATCGGGAAAATCTATGTATTGACACTCCACGCTTGATCCACTTTAATCAAGGAAAGGATCCAGCGCAGAAAAGTACTAACTGTTCTAGATGATGTGAATGATGTTGAACAAGTGGAATGTTTAATTGAAAGGCATGATATGTTTGGTCCAGGAAGTAGAATTCTTGTAACGTCCAGAGATAGACAAGTGCTTAAGAATGTAGCTGATGAAATATATGAGGTTTAGGAATTAAATTGCAGAGAAGCATTTTTTCAAGGCGCAGATTTCATCAGTACCTGCTGGGTTATGTAGTTTTTGCTTCCCTGGATGTAAAGCTCCAGCGTGGTTTGTCCAGCAGAATTCAGCAGCTTCTGTGACAATTCAGCTGCCTTCACATTGCGCTAGCAGCGAATTATTGGGTTTCATGCTGTGGACTGTTGTTGCATTTGAACCATCTTATGATGACTCTGGTGGACTCCAGGTTAAATGTACTTGCCATTTCAAGAATGACCATGCTGATCCCTGCGTTCTGCATTGCTACTTTGCCAGTTGCTATGGTTCGTTGCACAAACGATCTATCTGGTCAGATCACCTATGTCTTGGATATGATCCCAGTTTGAATGTTACAAAAGATTTTTGGTATTGTAAATTCAGTGAAGTCTCAGTTGAATTCTCCGCGGAAGATATGGACAACAACCCCTTGCGTTATTGTCATGTGAGCAAGTGTGGGGTTCGCCAACTACACACCCAAGCAGAGAACTATTGTGATTTTATCTTGCCGATGCAAATCAGAGTTGACTTCGCTAATATGGCCTCACCAAGAAAATTAACATGGATATAATCAGATTCTGCACAAATCTCTTTACAAAAAGGGTTCCATCCCAGAAGGAGAGAGCGGAAGCCAAAATAGAAATAAAATCTTTCGCCTTCCATTGCTTTCATACTGTGAGATGAGTGTTTTTTTTTTAATTGTGTATATCTGGATCAATTTATGTTTGTTTTGATTAATTTTTTGAGGATCTAAAATTAATGATCATTTAAGTCTTTATTTCATTCTAGAATTTATGAGAAACTAAGAAAAAAACCCTAAACTAACTAGTTAAATTATAACTCTTCTAGTTTAGAGTCCTATTTTCTCCATAATAACGGAGGCTTGAATAACGTGGCAATACAGAAAATCATGAAATCCAGAAGGTTGTGAATAGGAGTATACAGGTGATGCAATATCCTCAGTTCAGAGTAGTGTGAGATTATTCTTCATAGAAGCCGTAATATCTCATGTAGTGCAACCTATATGGGAAGATATTACAATAACAAATAAGTGAACACGAGTGATATAGCACAGCTATTAGAGCAACTTCTATAAACGTTCCTTATAGTATTGCATGCGCATTATGTTGATAAGTTCATGGACATGAGAGCATTACAGAATTATACCATTTTGAGAAAATGTTTTTCTTTAGGAAAACACTATCCTTATAGCACTCCATTACATTATTTATATCTCCTTCAATTCTAATATATTTTTTTATCTTTTTCAGTTTTGTATTGTTGGTTTTTTTTCTTTCTTTTGATGTTTGCTTTTTATTTTTGTAATTCTTTTTTTTTCTTTTTTGTTTTGCTTTTCATATGCGTATTTTGCTTTTAGCTACTTTCTGGTTAGCTCTTTTAATATATTGATTTAAAAAAAAAACATTATATATATGAAAGAATTTAATAGGTCATGAAAATTGAGTTTCAACTAGGTTAAAAATTTGAAAGAACTCGGATCATTATTTTATTAGATCCAAGTATATACAAATAATGAAACTCTTTAGATCTTCTGTTGTAGTAATTGGAGAAGGTTACTGAATTTTATAGTGAATTAAAATGAAGCCCCATAATTGGGTTAGGTCTATGCCCAACCGAGCTCTACTTTTCTCATCTACTCCCTTTGCTAGGTTCAATAAACCCCACGAAGCTTGGTTAGGCTAAGATCCAATCGAGTATGGCTACGATGTATGGCTAAGATCCCTTGAGTTAGGATTTTTTTTTAAAAAAAAATGAGGGATTGAACATTCGAATGTGACAATTATTAAATTTGTAAAAGACAAAGTTATTGCCTATGGGTTGAATCCAAAAGGCAAAAAAATGCTGTGATTTTTAAAAATATATTTTACTTAAAAATATTTTAAAACGCGGAGAACTATATTTTTAAGTAGTTGCATATAACATAACAAGAAAATATGGTTTTCTTGTGGTGCAAGTCAAAGAGTTTGCCTATCGTAACCCCAGATTAACGAGAACTAGTTGTTTATTAATCAAGATTAACAAAGCCCCCGAAGAAACTTTCCTTGCCCGGCCAGCCAAACTTCTTCTTCTTTTTTTTTTTAAAAGTATTATATTAAACCCCATTTATTAGAAAATATATATTAACAAAAATACATAAGCATCCAGGTATTTAAGAGAGGTTAATCGCTGTCCATTAACTCAGGAAAGGGAATATTGTAGTTATTGCTTATTTAAATTTAACAGATTCAGAGGCCATGACAGGGTACCGTTGCCATTGACTAGTCCATTGGCCAATGTACTTGGTATTGACCCCAAAGTCTTCTCACATTCACCTGTTTCTTGATCAATAATTGATATTACATTTAGATTACGATGAGATCAGATTTTCTGCAAGAATTTACTTGAAGCAGAAGGAGAAGGCAATAGACAAGAAAAATCATCTCTTATCATCAACACTATGCAACTTCTTCTTCGTCTTGTTTGCTGATGCAAAACACAAGTCAACTGTTCTTATGATCTGTTGGTAAGTCTTTCTGGTTCATGCTGTCTTCTATATTTAAGATTATATATACGAGTTTGATAAGTTTGTTTAGTGAACGTATTAATTCTTCGATCTGTAATTCTTTTTGCTCAGCTAGTGACTGTTCTTGCAATGTAAGTAGTAGCAAGCTAGCATTGGTAGCAAGTGACGAGTGATCAAATTAAGATAGATCATATCAAATTAAGAGCCAGAAATAATTTTCTATAATACAAGAAAGTCAATTACAGTTTTCTCCTTTTCTTTTTAATTAAATTAAATATAACAACAAGCCTTAGATTAAATTTGATCCAATTTCGAAATAGTCCTTGAGATTTAATATATAAAAAAACAAAGAAAGAGAGAGTTATTTGGTGTGTAGTTTTTAGGTATAAAGAAAATTAAAAAAAACTTTTAGATGTGAGTTTTAAAAATATAGATTTAAAAACTATATATTTAATTAAAACTATTATAATAGCTCTATGTTGCCCTCGTCTTTAGAGATTTAATCAATTAAATAAATCATGGTTTTATGGTTAGGTAAGTAATCCTTATTGTCCAATTCTATAAGAGTAGTCGTTAATCCTAAGAAGAAATGCTATCATATAGAGCCTATAAATAGGCCTTTTCTTTATCAATAAAATATTGCTTTTTCACCATTCAAAATCTCCTTTGTTTTTCAACGTAATGATAGTGGTATCAGAGCAAAGTTAATCAGATAAAACAAAAAAGAGAAAGTTTCTAAACAGTAAGTCTTTGAAATAGTCAAAAATAGTTGTAGCTTTTTCTCCTCTTCATCTTTTGCAGCAGTAGCTTTTTCTCCTCTTTCATCTTTTACAAGTAACAATGTCATCAGATTCAAATTTTGTGCAAGCAGTGATCCCACGTTTTGATGGTCACTATGACTATTAGAGTATGCTAATGGAAAACTTCCTTTGATCAAAAGAATATTGTCCAAAATAGTCAAAAATAGCTGTAGCTTTTTCTCCTTTTTCATCTTTTACAGGTTACAACGGCATCAGATTCAAATTTTATGCAAGCAGTGATCCCACGTTTTGATGGTCACTATGACTATTAGAGTATGCTAATGAAAAACTTCCTTTGGTCGAAACAATATTGGCCGAATATTGAATCTGGAATTGAAGAACCAGCAACAACTGCAGTCTTAACAGATGCCCAGAAAACAGAGTTGGAAGGGAGAAAGTTTAAAGATTTAAAGGCAAAAAATTACCTTCTTCATGCAATAGATCGTCCCATCTTGGAAACAATTCTTACCAAAGAAACTTCCAAGGATATATGGGACTCCATGGAGAAAAAATATCAAGGCTATGCTAGAGTAAAGCATCCACAGCTTTAAGCCTTGAGACGAGATTTTGAGATCTATAAAAGAAAGTTGGAGAATCTATCACCAACTACTATGCCAAGACAATGGAGATAAGCAACAAAATGCAATTTAATGGTAAGAAGATGGATGATGGTGTCATTATTAAAAAAATACTGCGTTCTTGGGTACCAAAATTTAATTATGTTGTCTGTTAAATTAAAGAATCAAAATACATAGATGTACTATCTATTAATGAATTGTAGAGCTCTTTGCTAGTCCATGAACAAAAGATTAACCGAAGTTCAAATACAGATGAGCAAGCTCTAAAGGCTTTTACCTTTACTTAGTTCTCAATTTCTAGAGGAAGGGGTAGAGGTAGAGGTAGAGAAAGGGAAGGTAGAGGCAATAGAGATGGCAGCAGATAATTTTTTAAGGTTGATAATGATCAATATCAAAACAAAGAAAAAGGATGGGTTTAACATTTTGTGACATGACTAAAAAATTGATATCTTCTCTTAAGTGCAGGAGTATCGAAGTAATCAATAACCCGGCAAGACCGGGATCGAACCACAAGGAGGTTAATTGTACAAATTATAAACAACAACAATAGTAACAATAACAACAACAACAACAATAATAATAACAATAATTACAATAGTAGTAGTAGTAGTAGTAGTACTAATAATAATAATAATAATAATAAAGAAAAAGAAGAACAAGAAGAACAAGATGAGAACTTTGAGATGAAATATTAATGTAAAGATTTGACAACAATAACAATAAATGTTAAGGTTAGAGGATCCACTAATTGTATGTTAAACAAGTATAGTATAAACTCTTATTATATAATTGGAAACCACACACAAAGAAGGTTCCAATCAGATTATAGATTATTAACATGATTACATTAGTCATCTTATTCAATTAATGTTAGTACTTGTAAATTTCATCAAATATTCATGATTATAACTTATGTTAACAACAAATCAAGTTCCTTTCATAACTCAGGTATCGGTTATACCATACAGTATGAACTATGAAAGTGTCAAGCATTTGTTGTACCAAGTGTTATACAACATAAATCAAGATTAGTCATTTAACAAGCAAAGTATTAAAGAGTGAACAAGATAATCAATACAAAATATGTTAGTATCAAACATTAAATTCCATATTAAGTTTACATTATACTTATTCTTACACCATTAGTGTAACTTTTTCACCTTAATATAATTAACTTAACTAGACATAATGAAAGAAAAAAAAAAACAAAATCAGAAGATAAATAAGATAAGAGTTAACAACGCAAAAGAAAGGAGTTGAAAGGCATAAACTTGATATTAAGGAAAGCAAAGCATAAATATTACAAAAAATACAAAGAGAGAAAGGAAAAGCATGATCTTGATCTGGAAACCAAGATACCTAAATGCATGGCAAATACCTCTTTTTATAGGCCAAAATTGGAAACTATTGATTTAATGACTAATTGATAAGTGGGTGGCCAACTCTTGACTTGGTGACAATTCTTATCTTCTCTTGTCTGCCCAAAACATCATTTATAACATCAACATTGGAGCCACTCAAAAACATAAAAGTTGTACGCAATTGTCTCAGCTGTCTTGTGTAAACAGTTCAGCTCATTTGGACTTCTAGAACTCTAGATATGGCCAAAATACTGAATAGTGCTCGGGCTGGAGGATAAATTTGACCTTCTTTGTTGTTGCTATAATTTGGACTTGAAAATGACTTTTTTAGATCTTGGGCTCCATATGAAAGTTGTAGGCCTATGTCTTACCTTTCCATTCATATAAAATAGACATAAATCTGAGATCTATAGCTCCAGATATGACCTAATTATCAAACAGTGTTCTGATTTGGATTGCACCGACATCTCTTTTCTAATTTCGGTCATCTCTTTGCCCTTGCAATTTAAATTCTTAAAGTCATCAATCAATCCTTTCTTTTATGTAATAGGCCTGCATTTAAAATGAATATTTACCACAAATTAAAGGTATCTTATATTATTAGATATATTATTATAAAACATGCTTTAGTTAAGGAGTTATTGATACTTCAAGTGCAAAATGATGATATAAAACCATGATAAAATGCACTTTTAAGTACTAATCACTTTGACAAATACAAGGTAAAGTGTTTTAGATGTCATAAATTTGGACATTATCGTTCTGAATGTTATGCTAGGTTGCCTAATGATAAAGAAAAGGGAGAGCAATTGCATTTTGTTGAAAAGAGGAAAATGAAAACTTTGTTAATGGTTGTTGAAGCTACTCAGAAGTTAGAGTTTAATGTTTAGTATATGGATACAAGTTGCAATAATCACTTGTGTGGATGTAAGTCTTCTTTTTCTTATTTAGATGGAGATTTTCATTCTATAATAAGTTTTGGTGATTGTTCCATAGTTAATGTAATAGGAAAATGTGATATTGAGATAAGAACCAAGAATAGTTTTATAGAAATAATTTCTGATGTTCTTTATATTCCTGACTTGAAAAGTAATTTATTGAGTGTTGGTCAGTTACAAGAAAAGGATTATGCGATAACTATTCAAAATGGTGTTTCTGAGATATATGATCCTTTAAAAGGAGCAATTGTTATTATTCAGAGGAGTTCAAATAGGTTATTTCCATTGAAGATAATAACATCTCAACCTTGTTTAATGGCTGAAATAAAAGACCCTTCGTGGCTTTAGCATTTTCGTTATGGCCACTTGAATTTTAGTGGATTAAAGACTATTTAACAAAAAGAAATGTTGAGAGGCTTCCCTAAAATTCACATCCCTTCCTAAATTTACAAAGAATGCATTGTTAGCAAACAACATCATTCTCAATGCAGAGAAAAACATATGCTAGAGTTGGTACATTCTGACATTTATGGACCGATAAATCCATCTTCTAATAGAGATAAAAGATATTTAATTAACTTCATTGATGATTTTACCTGGAAAACTTGGGTTTATTTTTTATAGCAAAAATCAAAAGCTTTTTATGTATTTAAAAGCTTTATGGCTCATGTAGAGAATGAAATAGGAATGACTATTAAAACCCTTCAAACATATCATGGTGAAGAATATTGTTCAACCACATTTGAAGTTTTTTATGCAGATCATAGCATTTGAAGGGAAATAATAACTATTTATATACCCACAACAAAATGGTGTATAAGGGAGAAAAAATAAAACCATCCTTAATATGATGAGAAGCTTGTTAGCAAGAGGGAACATTCCAAAGAATTTTTGGCTAGAGGTAATAAATTAGAGCATCCATATGGTAAATAGAAGTCCTACCTTTTTTGTTCAAAATAGGACACCTGAGGAAGCTTGGAGTGGGTGGAAACCAGCTGTAGATCACTTTAGAATTTTTGGTTGCATAGCTCATGCACATGTCCCAAATGAGAAAAGAAAGAAGCTTGATGATAAGGGTGAAAAATGTGTCTTTCTTGGCACAAGTAAATGTTCCAAGGCTTATAAATTGTTCAATCCACTCACAAAAAGGATTGTGACCAGTCGAGATATTGTCTTTAATGAGGAAAACACTTGGGATTGGAATAGGCAGCAACCTACACAAGTTGTTTTTTATAGTGATTATGAAAGTGAGCCAACTCCAGTTCCTATTATGCCTAACAATTCATCAGAAGTAACCCCAATAGCTCTAGAAACCTTGCCAACAACACCAACTTGATCTCTTCCCACCCCAACCGTTGCTGACATTCTACCAATAGCAACAGAAGCTACTATTGCAGCAACTCCATCTCATCCTCATATTCGAAAAGGCCTGCATGGATGGAAGACTATATAGTAACTGGAATTGAAGATCCAATCACTCATTTTGCTTTATTTTCAAATTGTGATCCTACAACTTTTAAAAGTGTTGTTAAAGAAGAAAAATAAAGAAAGGTGATGGATGATGAAATTGATGCCACTGAAAAAAATAACACTTAGGAGCTAACTAATTTTCCAAAAGGGCACAAAACCATTGGTGTCAAGTGGGCTTTCAAAACCAAACTAACAGAAAAAGGTGAAGTTGATAAGTATAAGGCAAGTTTAGTAGTCAAGGGATATAAGTTTAGTAGTCCAGGGATATAAGTAACAATATGGGATTGATTATACAAAAGTTTTTGCTCCAGTTGCAAGACATGATACAATCAGATTGGTGATTGCATTAGCAGCATAAAACTTGTAGCCTATTTTCTAGTTGGATATCAAATTAACATTCTTGCATGGAAAGAAAGCTCTTAATGGGTTAATACAAGCTCCACAAAGTTTAGTATAGTTGCATTGAGATTTATTTTTTAAAAGAAGGCTTTCAAAAATGTCCATATGAGCACACACTATTTGTTAAAATTGGAGATAAGGGGAAACTTCTCATTATTTGCTTATATATAGATGATCTTATATTTACTGGAAATGATGTTATCATGTTTAACGTATTCAAAAAATCTATGATGATTGAATTTGAAATGTCTGATCTTGATATGATGCATTACTTTCTTGGCATAGAAGGAATGCAATCTACTCATGAGATTTTTATTTCTCAAAAGAAGTATGTGCAAGATATTTTGGACAGGTTTCAGATGAAGGATTGCAATCATGTTAGCACTCCAACTAAATTTGGCTTAAAGCTCATGAAGGGAAGAAGGTGGATAACACACTTTACAAGTAAATTATTGACAGTTTGATGTATTTAATTGCAATAAGATCAAAATAAATATGGAGAATAATTAGTAGGTATATGGAGAATCCAATATAAATGCATTTGTTAGCAGCTAAGAGGATCCTTCATTACTTGCAAGGAAATAAAGATTTTGAGTTCTTTTATAAAAAGGGTGAAAAGTTAGAGTTGTTTTGGTTTACTAACAGCAATTATATAGGAGATCAAGATGACAGAGCAAACACTTTAGGTTATGTTATTATGTTGGGCACAAATACTGTTTCATGAAATTCTAAGAAGCAATAAATTATTATTTTATCAACTACAGAACCAGAATTTATAGCTACCATAACATGTGATTGTCAAGTTATTTGGCTAAGAAGAATCTTTGAAGAACTATAGTTCCAGCTAATACTATGTTGTCCTCATATTTAGGGATTTATTAAGTTAAATAAATTGTGATTTTATAGCTAAGTAAGTGGTTCTTGTTGTTCTATTCTATGGGAGTAGTCGTTAATACTAAGAAAGAATGATGTTATGTAAAGCCTATAAATAGGCTTTTTTTTATCAATAAAATATTGCTTTTCAACCATTCAAATTTTAATTAATTTATAAAACCAAGATTTGAAATATAATGATATTTAGGAACAATTTTTCTTAACTATATAAATAAATTTTTCTTTATAGTTAGATAAAAAATAAATAATTATCTATCATTAATCTACCTATCACAAGCGGCAGATTAATGATAGATAATTATTTATTAATCAAGATTAGGAAATCCCTCAAAAAATCTTCCCCTTCTTTTTTTTTTAATACAAAAGGTATTATATTAAAACCCTTTTAATTAATTAAGGATTGTGGAGAACTATATTTTTAATTAAGCAGTTGCATAACCTAACAAGAAAGAATGGTTTTCTTGCGGTGCAAGCCAAAGAGTGTGCCTATCACAACGGCAGATTAACGAGAGATAGTTATTTAATAATCAAGATTAACAAAGCCCCCGAAGATTCTTCCCTTCCCAGCCAGCCAAACTTGTTTTTATTCTTTCTTTTTTTTTTTTTTTTAAAGAAGCATTATATTAAACCCCCAGCCAAACTTGTTTTTCTTCTCTCTTTTTTTTTTTTAAAAAAAAGAAGCATTATATTAAACCCCTTTTAATGTGTTGACTTTTAGCTGATGCAAAGCAGACTTGACTTTATTATTCTTATGTTTCGAGGTCAAATTAATATAGTATATCCTGCTTATACTTTCCAGCAAATCAAAGTTATGTTTCAATCATTTAGTTGGTGTTAAAATAATAAAAATTTAGTATTAAAAGATTTGTTTTTTTTTATTTTATATTTGAATTTTTAATTGTTTATATGATGGATATTAAAGTTTTATATGGTTATTAAATTTAAAACTTATAAAATTAGTTATGGTATACCCAATTTTGAAATATTCATATTAATTTTTTTTATAAAAAAAAATTACGTCCCAACCTTCCACCAAAACAGAGAGAGCTCCGTGGCTTGGAAGATCACCCATCCCCCTCCATCGGCCCCTCCGCCTCATTAATCGCATTGAGATCTCGTAGCCGGCCCACCTCGTTATGGATCCCAGATGATAAGTTTATTTTTAAAGAATTAATACGACTTTACCATCAACATCAAATATAAGTGCAAGTGGGCACCTAGTTTCTTCTTCTTTCTTTTCTTTTTCCCCTTCTGGTATTCACTTGACAAATCATGATCACTGAGATTTAAGGTTTGATAAATTGGCTGATTGTGGTTATAAAATTAAAAGCAAAATTCGTCTGATATTAATTGTCAAAAAAAAAGATCTGTGGTTAATGCTTATGACTAGGTAGGCTTATAATCGACAATTCTTCTGTTGGAAAATTATCGCATGGTGACAAGATTATACGCTCGAGGGAACCATTTTGGGAAATGCAGATTTAATTATCACTATCAAAGAAGGTAGTGATTGCACTGAACCTCAGTTGCCCTGTGTAAGCTCTGGATCTATTGACCGGAGAGGATTTTGTACTCAGGAAGTATTTGTTCAATGAATTTTTCCAATCACCGAAGGAATGAAATTTTTTTTAAATATACTAAGTTGATGAGGAAAATGCTCTGAAATTCGTTTAGAAATAGATTTACAATCTAATTCGAAAATGCCACTATTCTACAGAATATGATGAGTACCATTCGAAAATTCTTCTGACAAATGTCTTGAAATAAATAACTTTTTTTTCTTTAAAAACAAATAATGAAATATTCCATAGGTTTCAGATTAGCGCCGTAAGATGTGATCCTTCCAATTATATCAAGGCTGAAGAAATTGGAGCTCTTCACCTACCTCAATTGATATATATATATATACTGGTATTTAAGAGAGGTAAATCGCTGCCCGTTGACTCAGGAAAGGGAATATTGTAATTATTGCTTATTTAAATTTAACAGATTCTATATATATATATATATATATACAGGTATTTAAGAGAGGTAAATCGCTGCCCATTAACTCAGGAAAGGGAATATTGTAATTATTGCTTATTTAAATTTAACAGATTCATAGGCCATGACAGGGTACCGTTGCCATTGACAAGTCCATTGGCCAATGCATTTGGTATTCACCCCAAAGTCTTCTCTCATTCACCTGTTTCTTATCAATAATTGGTATTACATTTAGAGTACGATGAGATCGGATTGTCTGTAAGCATTTACTTGAAGGCAATAGACAAGAAAAATTGTCTCTTATCATCAACATTACGCAGCTTCTTCTTCGTCTTGTTTGCTGATGCAAAACACAAGTCAACTGTTCTTATGATCAATTGGTAAGTCGTTTTGGATCACGCGTCTTCTTTGTTTAAGATTATATGTACGAGTTTGATAAGTTTGTTTCATGAACATATTAATTCTTTTTGCTCAACTAGTGTTGGTTCTTGTACTTTTAGACTTCAATTTCTCTTAATGAATGTTCAGCTGTACATTGAAGTGGGTGCTCTTTGTATGTCTTTAGGAGAAAAAGGAGAGCACTTGTTGATTTCGATTCCTTGTGATTGAGGAAGACACGATCTTGTAACTGTCTGATATGGCATCTTCATCTGCTGTTGCTCATAAATGGAAGTATGATGTGTTCCTTAGTTTTAGAGGCAAGGATACGCGCAATAATTTTACCAGCCATCTCTATGATGCTTTGTGTCGTAAGAAAATCAAGACCTTCATTGATGATGGGCTTGAAAGAGGAGAAGAAATTACGGGTGCACTTTTGAGAACAATTGAAGAATCGAGAATTTCAGTGATAATATTCTCAAGAAACTATGCATCTTCTCCATGGTTTGTGGATGAACTAGTGAAGATACTTGAATGCAAGAAGGCATATGGGCAGATTGTTTTACCAGTTTTCTATCATGTGGACCCGTCTGATGTTGATGAACAAACAGGGAGTCTTGGGGATGCGTTTGCTGAGCTTGAAAGAAATTTTAAGCAGAAGATGGACAAGGTTCCAAGGTGGAGAGCTGACTTAACAAGTGCTGCCAATATATCCGGATGGGATTCACAAATCATTAGGTGAACCATTCTCTTTTCTTTTGCCTCTACTTTTCAACTGTTTCTTGGGGACATTTAAATTTATGTAATGGCATCCTAACCCTTTTGCAACTTGTTGCCGATGAGTGACAGAGTAATGATCAATTTCCAATTCTGAGTACCTAAATATAGTCAGAATTTATTTTCAGTTTGTTGAACACTGACGTGCTATCATGTGAAGATCATGGTGTCTTCGATTTGACAATTTCACTTCTAATTCAATCCTGCAATCACTCTTCAAATGAGGGTCCTAATTAAGTGGCCAGGCCAATTGAGCTCTTGAACAGGAGCTTTCTCTAAAATGTATTTCAGACAATTTATTCAATTGGTTAGAAGTCGTGTGTTTAGTATGTGATCTTTTTAACTCTACTTTCCCATCGGAAATTACAATGGTAAATCTTGAAGTTGACAATCATATTTTTGGATTCAGAAGCATATGTTTTGAGATTTATAATTTGTTATGTGACTTCTAAATGTTACCAAATGAGCATAAAGTATAGTTTTTCCATGCATCTGTAAATTTATAAAAGAATTTCTTGCAAGTGATTGGGATTAGATTTCACATGTATGTAGTGTGATAATGTATGGCAATTGGAATCCGTCACAAAAGTTCCAACCTCAAGAAAAGATTGTGTTTCTTTGGGGTACTATTTGATATATCTGTTCGTCCTTCATGTTGGCAGGCCTGAGTCGAGACTCGTGGATCAAATTGTGCAACATATTTTGAAGAAATTGAATTATGCATCCTCAAGTGATTTGAAGGGCCTGGTCGGAATGGATTCACGCATGAAGCAAATCGAAGCCTTATTATGTACACAGTTACCAGAGGTGTGTGTTGTAGGAATATGGGGCATGGGTGGTATTGGTAAGACAACCATTGCTGGAGAGATTTTCAACAAGATCGCAAGGGAATATGAAGGTCACTATTTTCTTGCAAATGTGAGGGAGGAATCAGAAAAGAATGGAGGATTATTTCGTATGCGAGATGAACTTTTCTCTAAAATAACAGAGGAAGAAAATCTACATATTCGCACCCCACGTATTGGACACCCTTTCATTAAAGACAGGATCTGCCGTAAAAAGGTTCTGATTGTTTTTGATGATGTGAATAATGTAGATCAAATTGAAATGTTACTTGGAGGATGCGATTTGTTTGGTCCAGGAAGTAGAATTATCCTAACATCTAGAGATAAACAGGTCCTTAAGAAATATTCAGACAAAATATTTGAGGTTGGGGGACTGAATTACCAGGAAGCTCTTCATCTCTTTAGTTTGCATGCATTTAAGGATAATCAGCCCCCATACAATTATATGGAGCTGTCTGTGAGGGCAATGAATTACGCTAAAGGTAATCCATTAGCTCTTAAAGTCTTAGGTTCCTTTCTACTTGGCAGAACGAGAGAAGTATGGGGAAGTGCATTGAACAAGGTTGAAAAACTTCCTCAGAAAGAAGTTGATATTGTGTTGAGAATAAGTTTTGATGCACTTGATAGAGAAGAGAAGAGTATATTTCTCGATATTGCATGTTTTTTTAAAGGGCAGAACATTGATTTTATAAAGAGAATACTAGATGGCTGTGGCTTTTCAGCTGATATAGGAATTAGTGTTCTTGTCGATAAGTGTCTCGTTACTATTTCTGGAAACAAGATAGGGATGCATGATTTGTTGCAGCATATGGCCCATGAAATTGTCAGCATGGAATCAGTCAATGACCCAGGAAAACGCAGTAGATTGTGGCATTTTGATGATGTGTATGATGTGCTGACCAGAAATCTGGTGAGAGTTTCATGCATAAGTTTCTCCCCTCCTTTTATGCATTTCTTTAATTTATCTCACTGTTCATGATTTCCCTTTGCTGTGATGTTTCAGGGAACTAAAAACGTTGAAGGGATATCCGTAGACTTGGATAGTTCTAAAAGGATAATGAAGGTGAGTTCCAGAGCGTTTGCGAGGTTGTATAATCTTAGATTGCTCAAAGTTTATAATTCAGGATTCGGAAATAATAGTGAAGTGCTCCTTCCTCATGGCCTGGATTCTATTTCCAATGAGTTGAGGTATCTCCGCTGGGATGGATACCCTTTGAGATCTTTGCCGTTCAATTTTATTCCACAGAACCTTGTTGAAATTAATATATCTTCAAGCAAGGTTGAACAACTTTGGCAAGGAAACCAGGTATTTCGCCACCTACAAATAAGCATACATTTATTTCTTTCACGTAAAAGTAATTATTAGAGATATAGATACTAATATGTTTGACGATTATTTCTGTCAGAATCTTGTGAATCTAAAAGAGGTCAACCTCAGCAATTGTAAGCATCTAACAGAAATCCCAGACCTCTCACAGGCTGCAAATCTCGAGAGTTTGAATCTTCAATCCTGTACAAGTTTGACAGAAGTTCCTCAATCTATCCGATATCTAGACAAACTCTCCGATTTCAATCTGAGATCCTGTATAAGCCTTATAAGCCTGCCAAGTAGTATTAATTTGAAATCACTCAAGACTCTTAACCTCTCAGGCTGCTTAAATCTTAAGAATTATCCAGAGATCGCGGAGAATGTGCAGTACTTAAATTTAAATGAGACTTCAGTTCCAGAACTTCCCCGATCAATTGAGCATCTTAGTAGACTTGTTGCATTGAATTTGAGGGATTGTAAGCAACTTGGGAATCTTCCGGAGGATGTATGTTCGTTGAAGTCACTTGAAATTGCTGATCTGTCAGGCTGCTCAAATATCACCATGTTTCCAGCTTTTCCAGGGAAAGTCAGATATATTTACTTGAGTGGAACTGCAATAGAAGAAGTTCCGTCTTCAATCGATCGCCTTTCAAGACTCTTTTCTTTGGACCTAATGGGTTGCAAAAGGCTCAAGAATCTTCCATGTACTTTTTCTAGGTTGGCATCTCTTGAAAAACTCAGTCTCTCTGGGTGCTCAATCATCACGGAGTTTCCAGAGCTTCCAGTGAGTATTAAGGAGTTGTATTTGGATGGGACAGCAATACGAGAGATTCCTTCATCAGTTGAGCATTTGTCCAACCTTGTTGAATTGAGTCTGCAAAACTGTACAAGATTTGAGATTCTACCTGGTAGTATTTTTAACTTGGTTTTACTGAAAAAACTCAACCTCTTTGGATGCTCCCAATTCCAGACTTTCCCTTCTGTGGATAAATATGGATATTTGACTTACCTTTGTTTAGATGGAACAGCCATAAGAGCATTACCCTGGACAATCAAAGTTCTAGCAAGTGTTTCTCGCTTGGAAATAAAAAACTGCAGAAATCTGGAATGCAACTTGTTCCCTGAGGCTCAGAGTCTTTTGAATTTCAATGAGAGAGAGATGAAAGTATATCAACTGCGTCAGCTATATCTAAACGATTGCAACTTACTTAGCTTGCCTGGGAGTCTTTCCTGCTTATCCTCACTAGAAGTACTGGATCTCAGTGGAAACAGTTTTACTCTGCTACCGATACTCTCAAAACTCCTTAAGCTGGAATCCCTTATTTTAAGGAATTGCTTTGGACTTGTACATATTCCTACCCTTCCACCAAGACTAATGATTCTAGATGCACACAATTGTTCATCGGTGAGCGGTGTATCAGGCAGATATTCAACTGAGGTTGAGGGAAATATTTTTGAATTCCTATTTACTAACTGCTTTGGCTTCCATGACAAAACTGTATGCAAATGCAACGACATCATTGAATATTCCTTGAGGAAAATTAAGGTTTACGCCAAAAGATTGTATGCACAGGTATTTCTCCCTTCCCATCTTTTTCTCTCCCGCTTTCCTTCTAATTTTTAATGTTTGTCTTTCATGTTAAAATTGAGTCATGATTGTAATGAAACAGATGCCATTTGAACTGCCCGGGACATCTACTGTTTGCTTCCCTGGAAGAAATATTCCAGACTGGTTTGTCAATCAAACTCAGGGATTTTCATTAACAATTAAGCTGCCGTCACAAAGTGCTAGCAATCAGTTCCTGGGTTTTGTTCTGTGTGCTGTTGTTGACTTTGGATACTTATTCAAAAGCTCTGATGGCTTCCAAGTTAATTGTATATATCATATCAAGAACGAATATGGGGATAGTCATCATCTTCAAAGCTATTTTGGTGGTTGGTTTGACGGGGAGCGTGTTCGAGAAGTCTCAAACGATGTGTTGTTCTTAGGGTATGATCCATGTTTGGAATTTAAAGAATGTTATTTGTTTGGAAAATGCGGTGAGGTAGTAATTGATTTCTACTCGGAAGATAGGAACAACAATCCTTTAAAGAGTTGCAATGTGATCAAGTGTGGGGTCTGTCTGCTATCTGCAGAAGATGATAATTCATGATTTCTTCATGCCACATTCCTAAGGACAGCATCCTGCCTTTGTGACTGCGGTTAATGCTGAAGAAGCCGAAATGACTCTGAGTGATTCAAACCAATCAAATGAGACTGATATAGATGCATTAAGGAATTACATTGAAAATCAGCACTCTTTATCCCAGCAAAAAACCTCATCTGCTGATCGCATCTTGCTTGGCTCAGCAAAGGTTCAGGTTAGTTTACACTTCTCCACGTAGGCTAAGTTCATGATGATCTCTTTCTACAGAAGAAAGCTTCAAATTTTCTCTCCACTTATCTTTTCTGGCGTGGCATCTTTTATCCATTTAAAGCTTGAAAATCAAAGTCAGAAATGCGTTCTGCTAGGGCGTGGAGGGACTTCTTGTGGTTACACGGTTTGCAATCCTATCACTAAAACGGTGGCGACGTCAAGAGATGTTCAGTTTGATGGAGAGCAACTATGGAAATGGAGCAATGAAGGATAGCAGCAGCAACGTTTTTAGAAGATGAATAAGAGCAGAATAATGAAGGCAGTGATCAGAATACGGCAGCAGTTCAGCCATCTCTAAATGCTTCTTCTAGTTCAGATTCAAGGAAGTCAGATCATTACAATGTGTAAAAATCATTTATTGCTTGAAAATAAACTTTGTTAGGCTATATTTATACAAATAAAGGGCTAAATTTATATTATATAAGTTAACTAGCGCCAAGAAAACTAATGTGAAGTTGCCAAATCTAAATTGCATAATAGTAGAAACAAAAGAAAATTTGTCTAGTTGTTAAGTAGATGTAGTGGATTGCTAGATATGTGGGGCATATAATTTTTGTTTTTAAGTTGAAAAAAAAAATATAGAGGCACTAATAATATATTTTTTTAATTTATTTTTTAGAAAAAAATATTAATAAACTTAAAATTTAATGATACAAATTATTATATATTTATTTTTATAATGTTAAGATGGTGATATATTAAACATTATTTTTTTAATATTAAAATGATATTATATTGATTGACTCGAACCAATTCTAATTAATTTGTAAAAAACTTAACTTAATCCTAGTTGTCCTATAAAATCTACATTAAAATATAAATTATAAGGTCTAGGTTGATGAAAATATAAATTATGAGGTATAGGTTGTGTCGCGGGGTCGTGAGTGCTGCGACGTCGTCTGGCAATGGCAGAGACTCTTTGTCGTGCCTCCATCATGAGGTGTTGTGTATTAGGAAGGATTTTTGGATTTAATCGTAGAATTATGATTAATGTTTAGAAGTCGCCACCTAGTTTTATGGTCACTAAGAACCTATGTTCTGCGAATGTCTTAAGTAAGGAACTAATTGTGCAAGGGGAAGACGTATCACCCTAGTGCACCGTACCTAAGATAAGCTGCATTATTATTTGATTGTTTTTTCTAAATCAAGTTTTTATTTGTTAGTCTTTTACAAGGCTCAAGGCAGATATCTTTTTGTGAGAGAGTCTCTACTTTATCGGGTTAAATCCTAACAATTCTAAAATCTGAATTTTAGCATCGCGTTTCTACACCTTGTATCTTTAATACCTGAGGGTGTACTTTTTTGTGTAATTTTACACCCCACAAATATTAAAGTCTACATCTAGATCCTAAAAAAAAAAAAAAGATTTTTGACATGTTGGTTAAATCCTAATGGATAATCATAAACTGATTACAATATCCTTTTGTGGATTTTTTAAAACATGAAAAAGATGTAATTTTTGTTTTTTTATGAAAAATATGCTTGGAAAAATTTTAGGATTTAGCCGTACGCAACAAAATATTTTTTCCTGTTTGAAAATGTTTTGAACTTTTTTTGAAATATTTCAGAGAAAACCAGGTATTTTAATACCAGATTTATATTTTACAGTGTAAATATACAACCTGATATTATGCAAAATTGGTAGAAAAATATGTGAGAAAAATCACAATTTTTTTTAAAAATGATTTTTGAAATTTTTTGGATTTTTTTTAAAAAATAGGGGCCGAGCCGAATCCAAGCCAAAACGAGCCCGGTCTAAAGCCAAGTTAATTAATCAACAACTGCATGCAAAAATGAATTCTACATGCAGCGACCTTGACAAAAAAGGAGGCGAAATGGGGAGGAGAAAGTTATCTAGCGTGGGGGTTGTGGATGTGATGAGGATGTTTGGCTGGTGGCTCAGGAGGCGTCAGCTGAGGTAATAGTGACTGGAGTCGGTTGTGGAGGAAGAAAAAAAGATTGCAGAGGAGAGAGAAAGACTAGAAAGAGAAGAGAGAGAAGGTCATGGTGGCTGCTCTGCTACTGGTAAAGAGCTGGGTTGATGGAAATGATGGTGGTAAAGCCGGTTGTGGCGATGGAGGTAGGTGGCAAAGGAAACAAAAGAAGAAGAAGAAAACGGGAAGGGCTGCAGAGAGGAGAGAGAAATTGCATAAACAAGGGAAAATGGCTGGTTTTTTAGTTGAATTTGAACCCAATTTTCTCCTCCTTGAGGCCATCAAATCGACCTTTATTTATAAGAGGTGGAAAAGAAAAATCTTATCTACATTGAAAAAAACTTTCAGCCCTTGATTTTGTTGGAAAGGATCCTAATTATTGATTCAAAGTAAGCATGGTGCACTGTTAAATCTACAGTATAGGCTGCATGAGTTGACCTTTTTAGGGTGATTCCACATCCGTTTATTTACTAGTGAGCTGTAAAGACCATACCTAGACGTAGAAGGATATCTGGTAATTAGTTTCGTGTAATTTTTGACAAATTTAATGGACGTTAGGTATATTAAATGCAGCAGCAAAATAGATAACCTGAGCAATTATTTCAAAGAATTAAAAAAGAAGATAAACAATACCAGAGATCTTTTTTTGGCATAGTTCATTTCAGTCCTTCCTCTTTAAATTTGATTTAATTGCACCCCTAATTGACTCTAAAACTTCAATTTTCTTACAATTTGGCCCTTGATTTCAATCAATTAACTTGATAAAAATTAAATTTGATCTCTTAAAATTCCGATCTACTCAATTAAGCTCAAATTAGACTCTCAAACTTAATTTTTCACCAATTAAGCCCCAAATAAAATTATTTTGACCCATTTAAAGTATAATTATGTCCCTACACTAAATTAAATCCTTCAATTGGACCCAAATTAATTCTTAAACATAATTAAAATTTAATTTGGTCCATGATTAAATCAAATTGACCTATTAAAAATTTAATTATGTTCTTGGACTTAATTTTTATGCAAACTCATCCAATAATCATTTAATTTGACCTTGAATTTGTATTTTCTCTCTATTTTGGGACATAATGTGGTACAATTAAGTCTTTAATTTCGTTCAAAAATTGTAGTTTGATTTCTTGGTTTGCTTTCTCCTTATTGCCAGCCTTTATTATTATTTTTTGATTTTATTTGAAAAAAATAATTTTTGAGGAATAACCCAAAATTGGGTTATGACAGGTTGAACTTGAGACTTTGAGTTGATGGACTTGTTTGAAGTTGTGGTAGCGATTACGGTTTAAAGTGTTTTTAGTTTAGAAATGCATCAAAATACCTTTTTAAAAAAATATATATATTTTTGAGATTAGCATGTCAAAACAATCTGAAAATATAAAAAAATATTTTTTAATAAAAAATAAAAATGTTTTTGAAATTTAAGGAAACACGGTTTCAACCGTGTTTCCAAGTAATATACTATATATTTTTACTGGGACATTTATTTTCAAAAATAGATTAAGAAGGATTGGTTTTATCTTTCGTAGTTTATGTGACTGCTAATAGGAAATTTCCCATTTAAATGTATTCTTGGATGCACACGCAATTTATATAATTTATTTTTACTCTTGTCTTTTTTATTGCTAGATTACTTCTTTTAATAAACTATGCAGTGATAACAAGCAAAATAACCCAATTTTCACCTCTCTTGGAGACACAATACAAGGTTACATGGCATACATAAAACAACAAGCACTCCTCCCTCTTGCAGCCATAACATATGACATCACCTATATAAAACAACAATTATTTTCTTTCCTTTACTTCTGTTGGTCAAGTGTTTCAAATAATTTTGTTTAAAAGACTTTAAAATGATGGTGTAAAAACTATATTTTAAAAACAAATTCCCCTACGCTTGGGAGAGGCCCCCCAAGCATATAGGGTTCCCTCTCCGGCCTAACATCTTCACTTTAGGTCATCCAATTCAAGCAACTAATAGGAAATCCCATGCAATTCAAATCCAAGCCAAGCAATTAAATCCCAGGCAACAAAATCCAGAAAATTCCAAGCCAAGGAAATTTAAGCCATTCAAACTCATTGCTTCACACTAGTTCTTTCTATTGTTTTTCTTATACATTATTTTGTTCTCTTATATGTATTAACTTAAAAATTATAGAATTTTCTAGCCAGCACAGAGGAGTGCAGTAGAATCATGTTTTCAAACAGTAAATTAGCGAAGAACAAAGTCTTGTGACAAAAGAAAAGAGCCCAAAAGACTCGCCTGATTTTGATGTTTAAACAAATAAAAAAACCTTCATAAATGATGAGCTTGAAAGAGATGAAGAAATCACACGAGCGCTTCTGAGAGGATTGAAGAGTCAATAATTTCAATAGTTATATTCCAAGAAATCCATGCATCTTCTCCTTGGTATGTCAATGAGCTGGTGAAGATATGAACGCAAGCAGAAACATAGGCAGATTGTTTTCTTTTTATCATGTAGACCTGTCTAATGTCGATGAACACACAGGGAGTCATGGAAATGCATTAGCTGACGTTTTGAAAAAGGTTTAAACTGAAGATGGATCATGGAACTCGCAGAAATATCTCGGGATGGAACTCGCAGGTCATTATGTGAAAAGTAACTCTCAGAGGTATTCAAGTATTTGTCCTAGGATAATTGCTGAGCACTAGAAATGAATAGTTCTTTCTGTTATGCTTGAATCACCTCTAGCATGATCCACGATGTAACTTGGGAAAAATTGTGTGCTCCAAACATGTAAAAACCCGTGCTTCTTATAATCATCAAGTTTTCTGTAGTTTCCAAGAAGATAGAATTTTTTTTTTTCTAGCTTTTTTTTTTCTATGTAGTTTGGACCGGGCAAACGGGGGATAGTATTCAAAGAAAACAGGCCCAAAGAAGGAAGCCTTAATTGGGTCATAAAGACAGGTCTAGTCCTAAATTTGGTCTTCTAACGTTACATCGATTCCAGGTCTCTCTCTGACTCTCTCTCTGCCTTCTCTGCTTTGGTGAAGTTTGGTGATAGCAGGTTTCTCTCCCCTCTCTCCCCTCTCAAGTTAAAGTAATAAAAAAAGCTTACCATTTTGGAATCCTGTGCTGTTGAGAATTTTGAATCTGATAATCTCTCCTTGTTTTTGACTCGTAATCAATCTTCTGTTCTGTGTGTTCTTGGATCCTTGCGTTCTTGGCTTTTGTTAATTTGAGTGTTATTTTCTATTGAACTCTATTTATTTGGATATTCTGCATAGTATTGTTGCTTTTGACTTTCCAATAATCAACCATTCACTTGAATTGCAAACCTCGTGCTGCTTACTAAACATAGTTCAGAATCTTGGTGGATTGTGACCATGCAATTGTGAAGACATTGGTGACCTGCACAGTTTTTGTGCCATTAAAATTTTGAACATTGCGTGCTTGAATTCATTGTCGAATGGCTGGCAAATGGGTATAGATATTTTGTTACAATTTATTGTAAAATGAATGGAGTGTCTGGATTGAGGAGGTATTCCGTCTTTGAATTGAAGTTACGCAAGGTACTGAATTTAATAGACGACATTTTTGTTATCAGAGCTTAGGTTTTGGTTCCATCATTCAATTTCCTATCATTTATTGGAGGACAATCAGAGTGTATGTATAATCTGATACAATTTCAAAAGTGTAGAGAGTGAAAGTCCTAAACTTTAAAGTTGCTTGTTGCCATCTTTTTTTTATTTCCTAGGAAAAGAGGAAATAGAATAGATGGATTTATTGGTTAAGTGCATCTTGGATGAGGAAATCTATGATAAGTCAACGTACTAGTTGGAGTTGTGAATTGTCTTGGATTAGTACTGTACGTTGAGTGTAACATGAATTTGCACTGAGATGATATTGGGAAAATGAAGATTCGTTTGTGCTTTTGGTTATGGGAGAAAGATGCCACATTCTAAGGCTGCCTCTATGGAATCCAATTCTGTTCCTAAGGTTATTGATGGGGTTGTTGAGAGTCTGGTTAATAGAGATAGAGCAGTGTGCCAATGCTGGTGGAAAATCTATGCGTTTGACAAAGCTGGAGGTACCACCATTATGCACTTCTTGATGCAGAGATCAGATTATTAGTTAGAAAGCCTGCGACCTCAAAAGGGAGTGGAGTTTGTGGAATGGTTTTAGAGGAATAAGACGGCCCAATTAGTAACACCAGATTTCCTGAGTTTGCTTATTTTATTCTCATCTGGTGGTTGATGCTGAAATAGGAATAGCAGCAGCACCTTTGAGAAGTCCTTTTTAAAAGCACTTTTGAAAAAATTTGGGAGTGGGTGTCTGGGAGTGCTTTTTAAAAGCACTTTCGAAAAAATTTGAAATTTTTTTTTTGTTTTGCTTTGAATTAATATGTTTTTGATGTTTTCAAATCATTTTGATGTGTTGATCTCAAAAATAATTTTTAAAAAATAAAAAAACATTATTAACATACTTTTCTGAGTGAAAAACACTTTGAAAAGCAACTGCAATCATACTCTCAAACACGCTAATCATGTGGATCACCAGGTTGGAGAAAGAACCTGATGTTATGAATTTTACTTGTGAGCAAACTCTCCTATTATACATAATACTCGAAGTTGTCCATCAGTTGAAGATGAGGCCTTCAGACAAGTATCAGTGAACAGAAGGAAGCAGAAGAAAGCAGAATTGACGGCATTATGAGATGCTAGAGTGGTTACTTTTCTTTTAAGCTTCATCTCTCCTGCATTGGGTGGTGCTTTTTTTTTTTTTGGGGGGGGGGGGGGGGGGGCTCTATCAGAAATCAGGATTCAAGCTCTCGCTTTACCAATGAGCTGACAGTAAAGGGATGTTGGGCATGGCTACTGCCAAAAAGATCTGATGAAGATGAATATTTCACTTGGACGAGTGGGCGTCTGTATTTTGTGTGTTTTCTGTCAGATGACCTGACAGCTAATTTGCAGCTTCCTTAAAAGGGAGATCTCTTGAAATTCTGTATTGATTAGGAGTGAAAGGACTGGGTATGACTAGATTGCAACTCAAATCTCTTTTATTGCGGAGGATTTAGTCAGTTTGAGACCCAGTGCTCGGATTTAGCTAAAGTTTGCTCCTTGTGTAGTGGCTGATGAGATCTGCTTGCTTGGAAAGTTGATAATACTTTGAAATCACAATATCAAGAAATTGAATCTCGGTTTTAAAGCTGAGAATATGAGCAGAGATGTAAAATTTAATATGGATCATGGGTCTGCCTGGAAGTGCCAGAATATTCGATCTTAAGAAAAGCAGTTAAAGCATGGAAATGACTCCAGGTGTTCCCCACTCCTTAAATTCCCAGATTTACTTCAAATATTGCATGGAAATGACTCCAAAATCTCGGCATTATATGATTTTTTGGTCGTGAATCTTTTAGAGAGGTTTGGTATTGGGTTTGAAATTGGGACATGCTAATAGAAGTTTAAGGTGATAAAGTCTCAAGAATGTAACCTATACTGGTGATCATAATCCATACTTCATTAGGTATGTTAAGCGGTTTGAATTTGGCATTTGAGATACTAAAAAGTTGAGGGGAAAAACTTCCATTATCAATGAATTTGACCAAGTGAAAAGGAGTAAACAATAGCAGTACTTTTTCAGTCATGTGGGATGACATATTTAGATGGCTAAAATTTCCTTTCATGGGATGGCAGTATGGTGATGGAGATCATGTAACCCCTGTGATATAATGCCTGTTAATACTACAAGTGAAATAGAGTGGCTGTTCCTAAGGTTAACAGTGTGCAATCCCTAATTTCTGTTAAAACCCAGTAATGGATTCGGATTCTGACACTATCCAATTTGGATTGAGTTTTTTTAGGTTGTACTGCAAGTAATGTTATTGTATACCCTTTAAGTTATTGCATACCAAATTTTGTGTGAACATTTCTCGAGCATGCCGCGCTATTGCGGTGTTTTTAGCTGAATGTAGTTGAGTGCAAGTAAGATGTTCTGTTCAGTTTTCTTAATGTTTTCCATCACCTGTTGTGAATGAACTTGAGTGCCCATCAGTTCAGAAATTGAAATTGCAATCTCATTGTTGTGAAGGCATGTTTCATTTGCAGTAATCCATTCTGCTCATCTGCTGTGGACATGATAGAAGCCAAGGCTGAAAATACAGATGGGGAACCAGTGGGAAGTGAAGGTTCGTCAGTTAGTATAAAGGTCTTATTCTTTGCCAGAGCTCGAGATGTAACTGGCTTGGCTGATATGCAATTAGAGGTGTCATCTGGTAGTACCACCAGCGATTGTTTGAATAAGCTTATTGCTAGGTTTCCTAGCTTGGAAGAGATCCGTGGTTGTATAGTTCTTGCTCTAAACGAGGAATACACAACCGAGGCAGCAATCGTGAAAGAAAAGGATGAGTTGGCTATCATACCTCCCATCAGTGGTGGCTAAATATTTCGTACAAATTTCTCGAAAGTCTTAATATCCAAACATGTTCTTTGAATGGTTTCTTGATCATATAGTTGTCTCACACAAATACGTGAATATTGTATGATTTTCTGTGTCTTTTGTAACTATATTGATGAAGTCTTCAGGAATAAATTAGAAATCCATCCTTTTTCTTTTTCTACTGTTCAATGGAATGAGCTGTTATATCTTCACGTACACTTTAGAGAAGAAGGCAGACGCTGAACCATAAATTTCAAGTTTGTGTTCAAATTTTCCATTTGTCAATTTTTTCTCCATGTTGCCCATTGCCCATGTTGATTATTTATTTATTAATTGTTGACAGGAACTCGCAACTTTTGTGTCATTCACCTTGCAATGGCAGATGCCTGAACGATGTATAGTGAATAGAACATGGACTGATGGATGGAGGAGATGTTACATGCATGCCCTGGCCATAGTGTCTTGTCCCATAGTACTACTTTGTAATAGATATGAGGCAACAAGCAAAACTAGTTTAATTTCTCCACCATGCCAGCGGTTACTAATAATTTAAAAAAAAAAAAAAAAAACAGAACTTGCGTAGTTAAATACATTGCAAAGCCCGTCTAGGTGTCCAGAGAGGCAGGTGTGGCTCCTCGAACGCCGATTCAAAGCATTAAACTGGGATTAATGCCTTTGGATAATAGAATATTACAGCGATAATCCGCACTGCTATTAAGAACTAGTATATTGAGTTTAATTGGTTTTAAAAAAACCTTTTCCAAGTATAACATGCACAGATTATTGCCTGAATTAATTTTTGGGTGTTGGATGCGCGTCCAGCACCCTCTCGAATACTTGATAGTTAGACATCACCTGCATTTTTTATTTGTTTTTATATTTTAAAAAATTTTAATTTTTTTAACTTTTTTGGCTTTAAATTAATATTTTTTACTATGTTTAAATAATTTTGATATATTGATATTAAAAATAATTTTTTAAAAAATATATATATTTTTTAATATATTTTTAAATAAAAAATATTTTAAAAAACAAATCTCAATTAAATCTAAACAAATCCAATTAAATGAAATTGCTACCGCTAACATTTCTTATTTGATTTTATTTGTTCTTGAAATTACATCTAGCCTAATTATTTTCACCATTTTGGGTGCTAGGGCACACCAACACTCATTATTGGATCTAGGCATTATTAATTAGGATTTTAGATATGCATCTCCACATGCTCGAGCTATCAACTATTATTTATATTAAGCCCATCAATTAATGAGAACTCATTAATTGGTGTCATCTATAGAAATTGATAAAAAGCCTATCAATTTTGAAAAAAAAAAATTGACATTTTCAAATTATTTTATATATAACCAAGATAAACTTGGGTTAGGATGCAAAATAAATCTGTTCATTACAACAAACACTTCTACTTAATGAAACCTTTAACAATAGCTTACAACTTCTCACTCAGATAATGTTGTCAATTTAAGATCAAAATAAAAAATTTCTATCTGAACAAATCTTGACACCCTTGGCAACACACAACGCCCCATCATCATGACCAACGGTGACACCCGACGCCCATAAATTATCACACTACTCAAAGAGACTAAACATAATGAAAATCCTAAAAGTCCCTCATGAGGTTACTCACACCAGTATAATACTCATGTATAGAGCCAATAATCCAAGCGTACTCCTCCTAGCTACTATGGGATGAACATTTATCATTATAATTATCGTTCTATGCTAAACTCCTCGAGCTCCTAAAAGTTTAATGTATTAAGAAGGTGTTTGTTTACACGGCTACAACTGTGTTTTAATTAACATACAGTTTGCAATCCTTTTTAATTTACTATGCATGGGTACCACATGATTTTTACATTCAAAACATGTTTAATAAAAAATAAGGAAATCCTGCTTTTCATGCACTCTTCATGTTAATTGCAGTGTTCAGTTAACAGTGTAATTAACATGAACACTATATATTGGTATACTGCTCAGTGAACAGTGCAAGAGAATTGCACTATTCACTAAAAATAATGAACAGTGCAATTCACTTGTACTATTCATACAAATTTTTTTATGTTAATTTTATTAATATTTTTTTGAAAAAAAAACTAATTTAGAATGAATTAAATTTATTTGCATTATGATGTAAATAATATATGTTTTTCCAAAACTAGTATAGAGTGAATTAAATTTACACGCATTATAATATCAATTTTATACCTGATAATATTTTATCTAATTTTATTACACGCTCAACAATTTATAAAAACTATAGTTCTTATCAAATGATTTTTATACACAATGGAATTATAAATAGTTTAATGAAATAATAAAAAAATATTTTATATAAAGTATTATTTATTTTATGATATAATAGGAATAATTAATTCTACAATATTTAAATTTAAAACCATCAATATTAATATATATTTTTAAAAATTATTTTATAACCTCAATTTCAAAAGTATTATTAACCAAACACATTAAACTACTTTTTTTTCAACCATAGTTTTAACCAAACACCTATTTTTTCAAACCAGCCTCAACTAAAAGTATTTTTTATAAAATAACTTTTTTCAAATCACAATTACCACAATATCAAACACACTCTAAAAACTAATGGATGTATGCACACAAGCATATCCAAAAAAATAATTATAAGCCCCATCAGTGGAGGGGATCTCCTTTATCCAAACAAGTATTGAATATTCAAATTCCTCAAGACTATATTTCCATTCAAATAATTATGGACAATTATGATAGCTTGATTGATACGAGAAGCATGCATGGAATGTTCATTATAGTTTAGAGTTGTTAATCTAAAATGGTGACTCAATGTGAAGAATCCTCCCCACACAGCTCTCACTTGTAAATATAAAAATTAGCTTGGATTTGTTTCTTTCAACCCTTTAGAATTTTTTTGAAATACAAGCATCATTATAGGTCAATCTTATTGAGTTTCTTTTAGTTTTTTAAAATATTTTTTAAGTATAGACTTATCCTTAATGTGTTTCTACTAACTTCTTAAAAAAAAAATTAAGTATAAGTTTTTTCTTCATAAATTTCCTCTGACCTTTTAAAAAAAATATATATCTCATCTTATCTTTTTTAGAATTTTTCTAAGTATAATTTCTTTAAAGTTTTTCTTACATTCATGGAATTTTTTTTAAATATAATGAACAGCACTGCACGCGGTCTCTTTAGTTTTAATATATGAGATTTTATCTTCTCTTTTCTAAAAAATAAAACAAGCTTGTCATCACAATTAATTTTTTACAACTCTTAGTGTATTAATACCACAAAACTTAAGGGGTTATTAATATACCTAAAATTCAATAGTCCAAAAAATACACTTCAAAAAATGAACTAAAAAAACCTTCCAAAAAACATGTTTTCAGGTTATTGCCTGAATTATTTGAATCGACAGCTAGCCTCTAGACTCAAATTAATTTTTGGACAATTAATTTTTGGATATTGAACTCACGCCCAGCACCCTCACTAATTGGGGGTACTTGACACGCCAGCACCGTCCCAATCAACTGGGGGTACTAGGCACGCCAGCACCCCTAATTAATTGGTGGTGCAGGTAGCGGCCTCTGAATCAAGAGTATGTTTGTTTTTGTATTTTAAAAGTATTTTTAAAAGAGTTTGAAATTTTTTTATTTTTAATATGTTTTTAATGTTTTCAAATCATTTTGATATGTTTATGTCAAAAATGATTTTTAAAAAATAAAAAAATATCATTGATATGCATTTTAACACAAAAAACTATTTGAAAAACAACAGCAACCACACTTTCAAATAAGCTATAAATGGTTCTGCAGGTTGGCGCGCCAGCATCCCGATTAGGCATAACACATGGATACATTCAATCAAGGTGTTTAATTTCCTGGAGGTGCTGGGAAACATTCCTAGAGTATTTTTGGTATTGTATTAGTTGTTATTTTTTAAATAATTTTTTTATTAAAATATATATTAATAATTTTTTTATTTTTTAAAAATTATTTTTAACATTACTACATTAAAATATCTAAAACATATAAATTATATTAAATTAAAAAAATATTTTTTTTGAAAACACAGGTTAAACCGTATTTTCAAACAATTTTTTTAAAGACTTAGTCACATTCCCAAGCTTAAATTTTTTTAGTTTTACATAAATATCCTGATATTTTATACTATTCTAACATATATTATTTTAAATAGAATATAACTTACAATATCATAAATATAAAATTATATTTTAATCTTTTCTTTTAATAAAAAAAACAAAATTTATTACTTATAAATACCCCATTAATTTTTCAAACTTAAAATTTATAATATTTTTATTTATAATATTTTCAAATTTATTTTTTTAAAATATTATTATATTTTTTTTCTATAAAATAACTAACTTTAGTCTTTATATCTATTAAATAAATAAAAAATTTTGTAGGTATTAGCTATTATAGCTCAGCTACAAGCTACCATGACTTACCAGCATCACCTCTCAATATTGGCTATTTAAATTTTTTATATTAAGTAGTTGGACACCATGACGAAGAAGAACATATTATATTATTTGAATTAAAAAATTAATTA